GGAAGGGAAGGGAAGGAAAGGAAAGGAAAGGAAAGGAAAGGAAAGGAAAGGAAAGGAAAGGAAAGGAAAGGAAAGGAAAGGAAAGGAAAGGAAAGGAAAAGACCAAATATCCCAAAGAATGTTGGCAAGAGTTACTCATTTAGTTGTTGTCGGAATTATAACTGCTTCATATTATAACCAGATAAGATTTCAAGCATAAATGTATAATTCTAAAAAAGGGAATATTACAATAGTTGTATATTCTTAAAGGAATGCTTGATACAAGGATCAAACTATACACTGAACACCCTTAAAAAAAATAGGGAACAGACTTTCTTGTACCTCAGTAATCTTGAATACATCTTATAAGGATGTGCATACTGAGAACTACTGGGAGATCTATACTATACCCAGATTTTTGTTTCTTATCCCACTTTGTTGAACATTCTGCCTGAGGAAACAGCAAAAGTTGGACATTAAATTGTGACATTTTAGTAAGCCCTAGTAAATGTATGCATTAACAATTTTTACAGTGATGATGGTGCTTTATGAGCATAGGGAGAAGAATGTGTTTCAGAATAAATTATGGTTTTGTACTAGATGTTAAATGATAATAGATGTAGTAAGGGAAAATTTACTTACTTATTTACATGTAAATTTTCTATTTTATTAATTGTTATTAAATTTATATAATTTTAAGAACACACAGCACACAGAATTAGGCAGAGTTTAGCAGAAAGCTGATACTATTTTATATTCTTGCAAAAAAAAAAAAAATTGCCCCAGATTCTGGCCTAGAGTGTGAACATGGCACTTGGAATGTTTTCTTGTTTCTCTTCTTGTATAGTTAAAAAGAGCAATTCACTTAATAGTAGCAAGGAGATATATATTCTTACCAGGCTGACTTGTCACCAGTAGCCACTGCGTTATGGATGGTAAGAGGCCTATATCAAGCCTGGCTGCTTGGTATAAGAACTTTGTGACTATACAGCTGGGTGAAATAGTTCAATTTTGTAGCAATGGCTAATAGCCTACAATGTCAATTTATGCTTAACTGAGAGCATGTGGGGAGGTGGGGTAATAGGAGTTCACTTGCATGTAATGTGTCTTTATCAGCAAAGGCCCAGCAAACAATGAGCTCCAATTAGTCTCCAATGCCATCCGCATAATTTATTTACCCAAACACCATCTGGCAAAGAGCAAAGCAGTCACAGAAAGGCATGCCCATAAATACACAGACAAATTTGCAGCTGGCTGGCTGCCCAGTTTCAGCAGCCTCAGCTAAGCTAGTAGTCTAGCTGGCTGTCAAGGCAACTCACCTGCAATACAATAGGGAGCTGTTCAGGAGGATTGCGGTTTTCCACTCCCATTGTTAGCCATACCTGAAAGGCTGTAAGCTGTTCAGCGAAGAATGGGCTGTGCTGTAGAGAAAACAATGGGCAGGGATCAAGCTAAACTAGCTGCATGTCAACAATGTAGCCTCAAATCCACATTTTATTTATTTACTAAGTACAACACATTTGAAATAAACACTTCAAAAGTTACCTCAATACAGCATTACCCCAAATTTGTTCAGTGTAAATTTTTAAAGATTGCTGGGACTAACAGCTCAGACTTAAAATGATTTAACTAGCAAGGAATGTAGAGGCAATTAGAAGACACTGGTTAATCTGAGCAAAATGTACGCTAAGTCAAGCAGTTAATTTGCAAAGATACAAATTCATTTCTTTTTTGAGTGCATTTTTCATACATGGGACAGTTTTTGTTGAGTTCACAGTAAAAATGATTCAGCAATAATGAAACCATCCAGCTTGGCTTTAAAGATGGGCATACATTCATCTGCAAAATGTATGCCTTCAAGGTTTTTTTTGGTTTGTTTTTAAAGCCATTTTTTAATTATACTGAGACATAAATGATATCTCTAAAAAGATAAGGAAGCTTCTGATGATTTCCCTAATATTGAAAAGCTTCCTCATTTTTTCCTAACCTGATTTGGTTGTCTTTCAATATATAGAAATATGTGCCAAATTGGTTTGCCACAATCTGTGAAATATGGTTTGCTAAAATTATGTGATTCTAAGGAGATTTGAAGTTTTTTCTTGGGAACCATTACACACATACAGTACTTGTGTGTCTTCTGTTTATTCACATTGCAGTCTGTCAATGAATGGAAACAAAACTGAATGGAAATGGTGGCTTGTTTTATTTATTTATTTATTTATTTATTTTTGCATTATTTGTTTAAAATGTTTTCAGATTGCTTATCATGCCATGCATCTCCAAGCAGTGTAAAACACTGAAATCTTTTTGTTTGCAATTTAAAATACAATAAAACTTCTACAGCAATAAATTGATAATACATTAAATGAAAATTCATTAAATCTTATAAACCAATTGCCATGAATAGTAGAGCAGTATTTTCATGAGATATCAGTATCAAATACCATGGTGAGTAAAATGAACAAAAAATGTTTTCATGTGCATCTAAAGGGTTGCAGTAATGTTAATTCTGTAGTGTCCAGGAAGAACGGCCAATCCATCAAGCACTGCATTCTCAAAACAATCCCCCCAATCCCATCCGACAGAGATTCCTACCAATACTGTGTCACTATTATTTATAAAATTATAAGCCAGACAGAGCACTACCCCTCAAAAACAGTAAGTTTTTTAACATGTCTGAAACATCATTTGAAACCTAAGAGACATATCACAAAGACAAATGCCGTGGAATATAGCATAATGTAACAATAGGAAATCAACAGTATTAGAGTTTTGGATACAGGACTTATGGAAATGTTGATAAAAGCACATTCAATTTGTGTCTTCGTTTTCAGATTCACAGAATTATTACTGAATCTGGTTACTAACTGTTATATAAGTAGATTTCAGTCCAGAAATAATAGCAGGGGTGTGTGGCCCTTCTGTTTCTGCTGGATCTGTGGATTTCAATAGCACTGACCATAATATCCTTCTGGTTTGGCTCCTTGGAGGGGGAGCACTGTTTGACTGTGGTTCTCCTCTTTCCAGAAAGGAACAGGGAATGAAGTGCTAAAAAACTGCCTACTAAAAGTGGTGTGGCATGGACTTTTGCCATGGCCCACCTCTTGCAACTGTCACAGCTGACCAGGAAAGGGTCTCTCTTGTGTAAGTAAACAGAAATAATTAATAAAGTTTTGCTAACTATAATTATACTGACATCTATTATCCATTCCATCTTTGAAATCCAGTGAGTGGCAGCCATAACCAACAAGAAAATGTGGAGGTTTAGTATACAGAATGGCACTGTCGTAGTTTTGGGGGTGATTATGTGCTGGATTTTTTATTTTTAGTTTTAACCTTTGTTGCACCATTCTGTAAGCCACTTAAAGCCTATGGGAATTAGTGGTATAGACGCCTTAGTAAGTAAGTAAATTAATAAATAACAGGTGGCTGCTTCAAGTGATACGTGTTAATGGATTACTATGGCTAGCCATCTAAACTGTTTCTGACAAATAGAAAGTTCCCATGCCAACAGCAGTGCTATGTTTGGCACTGACTTGAAAATTCTTTGCACAATCATCCTGTGCTTCCTTTTAAAAATATATTACATGCCTAACATGTAGGGTGTGCTTAATTCAGCAAAGAAATAATTGGTTTTCAAACAGAAGAGTTGATGATCATGATGTATTGCTAAGAAAGCAAGAAAATACTCTTCCCTTTCCTAATGGGCTACAAAATACGTTTCCACTCCTTAATATGTTACCAGTTGATAATTACAATGCCACCCAATTGCCCTCCTCTTTTTTTATGAGTTTAGGTTCAGACCCACAGTCTCTGAATAACAGGATTGTCTAAAAACCAATAGGAAGTCTAATTCATATTTTTTACTTGTAAAAAACAGCTAATTAAAAAATAGTAACAGGCTACTTATCTTACTAAAAACTATCTGAATTAGAGTTTCCAATGTCCTTAGAAATCTGTTTTTTGAGATACTGAAATGTAGACTTACAAAGGCTGTTTTCTTCACAGTGTTAAGCAGAATGGTATGAACAATTTTGGATGTTCCTTCACTTTTTCTCACTTTCTTTTCCATCCATTGCCCCTATAAAAAAGCTATTTAGGCCATGTTCTCCCCTTTAAAAAGTTGTTTGGGTATGCTTTCCCTTTTTAAATATAAAGAGCTGTCAGAGTTCATTCAAGATACCTTTTAAAAAGAAAAATGAGAGGAACTGGATTACAGCCCTTGTCTACATACAATGAAACAAAATGGCAGAGTGGCTGTTCATTTCCAGACTATGCTCAAAGAAAGTCACCCCCCCCCACCAATCCCCCTAATCAGATGCAGTTAGTAAATCCATACAGAAGGACTTCACCTAGAATTGGGGATTTGGAATAGGAAGCCTGTCTGGTGACTATATTGTTGGCTTTTTGGTGCAAACACAAGAACTTCCCATTCTCCCCAGCTTTTTAGGATTCACAATTTAGTCTGTGTGGTTTGGTTTCAAATCCTTTTCTTGCAGGTTTTTCTGATATTTATAAGCTATGACATATTTTATGGTATTATACTGGCATGTGGTTGGCATTCTACTATACATTAATCTGTACGTCATCTAAAGCCAGTTAGCTCTAAGGCATTTGAAAAAATAATTAAAACACACAAATAGAATTTAGTTCCCTGGGGTAGCCTTTAAATATTTTTTTTTCCTTATTGAAAAATATTTAAATGGTACATTCCTGGAAACCTGAAGTGATACAGCTGATGACACCTAATATTCAGTGTATTAATGATTTATTCCTATCTATATTCTACTTAGAGTCAGTAGTCATAAATGCCAGTAATCTACCTTTCCTACTATTTAGTTCCTGATAGCTAGTTTATTTTCTGCTAATTTCAGTGACTGATTGACACTATTTTATGCACCGTCATTTAATCTTAACTGTCCAGTTTTGCAACTACTTTCAATTCACAAACAATTGCCATACAGGTAGAATACTCAACAACTCGTAGTCTTGGAAATGAGTATCAAGGGCACACCCTATTCAGCAATTCAGTATAAAATGTGAAAGAAACCATGAGGTGCAGAAGTTTCTAAAACTGAGGTACTGAGAGTATACAAAGAAGATAAAAAATGTAATAGATTCACTGAAAGAGCAGCACAAAATGGCAAGCTCCATGTGATCAGCAAATGAGGTGCCATTGACATTGTCTAGATGTCTCCTTGTCTCCAACTTTATTTCTACATCACATTGCAATACCTTTATTGTAGCAAAAGGGGAGGGAGAATTGACAAAATAATGTCCCTATCTCATGCTTGGAAGTTCCTCTACTGTAACCCACAAGCATGTTTGATAGTGGCAATGGATACTTGTACTCAGACTTCCTGCAATGGAAAAGAATCTTCTGGGGACAGATGGGATGATGTTGAGTTTACCTGAACCTTAAGATCAATGTCCATAGCTCTCTTCATCTTTAGAAAATATTTAATTGATGAGTACAGTTAAAGTGTTTCTTGCTAATAGCAATATAGCTTTAGAATTATCTAACAAGCTTCCTTTCTCCCCATCTTTTCATTTTGGAAGCCATTTTTCACTAGTTTAATCAGATTTATTTTCTGCATTAGTTTAATGGTGCCATCACTGTTCATTTTAGTACATCCTACAACTGGCATATTAATTTTTTTATGTATTCCTCTAATAATTTCTTTCTAAAGGAGGATATAAATAAGTGTAAGAAAACAAAGAGGTTGTGATTTACAAATGACACATATTTGTATGATTATTAATAATACTATCAGATTACTGAAATGTATCTGAAATAAAGTACTATACTAAAATGCCTCTGAGTAACAGTGGTCTCCCACTGTTACTCCCACTATCCTGTTTAAAATTACATTATCAGTTTGGAACTAAACTCAGAAATATAACTTTAAAAGTTAAGTTTTGCTTTGTCTACCCTCCTACAAAATTTGTTTGATTTTAAAGTTCTGCTAAAGGGTCATTTTCTAGACAATAACTATCATAAGAAACTACATATGCATTAGTATGAAATGCAAAATTTGAATATAGTTACAGAGCTGGAACAGTGGGAATTCCAATGGAAAACTATTAAATTTACTCTGAATATTATACTTAGAATTTATATTCACTTTTTATTGGAAAAGATCTTTGATCCCTCTATGGAAGAATGATGAACTAAACTGTGAATATGCTTCAATGTCTAGATTAATTGTATATATTTTTTTAAAATATCTGATGTTCAGTTCAAGTGTATCTGGAAGTCCTTTTAGACTACAATTCTATACATGGAATTATTGCCAAATCTGAAATTTGGGCTTTAGAATTTTATTTATTTATTTATTAAATTTATTTATTTATTTATTAAATTTGTATGCCACCCATCTCCCCCAGAGGGCGACTCTAAGCAGCTCACAATTATTTAAAT